ATATAACAAAATAAGCTCTCCCTTGTCTATTCTTGCGGCATATTTGCAACAATATGATTGTCATTGACAAAACCATTCTGCCGCTATAATACAATACGAAAAACCAAAATGCATCCATACACATTACTCCACAATGCAAAGTGTCCTGTACGTGATTATTTTTAAAAATATGTATATAAACTTCGATTCAATGGTTATTGACAAAGTATGACAAAATACTTCCAAGGCATTGAATAATTATTTTAGTAGTGTGACTAATTCCTGTTGAATGTGTAGGAGTGAAGAGACAGCCGGGCAGGAAAACTTATTCAAGGGTCTGACGTACCTCTTATCGCTGGAACACAGTGTGCTCACCGGGGAGGAGAAGTGATGGCACTGACACCTTTGCGGTTCACCATTGATTACTCTGATACTGCCACGATAAATCACTTAAGATAAGCGGAGCAATTATACTTGGCCCAAAAAGCAAAGCTCACTTTCCTGTAGGGATTACCCGCTCCGAGCACAACAGTGGTAGTCATTTATCTGCCCTTGGGTCAATTGTCCTGTTATTTATATATTTTTACGACACTCACTCGTTCACCAGTGGGAAAGCCATAATCGCGAATAACTTTAGTTGTTATGGTTCATTATGCTAAATGGCGCATGCCTGAAATCTCGCCCTTTGGAGTCGAGATTGATGGGTCACTCACAGTAGTTATGTGCGAGACTCTGAGCGTGCATGCCTAAAAGGTGGCCAGTAGATGACAGTGCAGCCAGTGGGTTACACATTTTTTCTGGATTTTTATTATATTCTCAAACATTGGTGTTTAATATTATGCCACATGCTGCAAACATCTCAAAGTCAACCCCGCTGAAAGTCTGTAGACTCAGATTATAGATAGAGGGGCATTCTTTTTTTGTAAAGCTGACAACAAATGTAAAGGTGCAGTGATCAAAACGTCGTAGTTTTTTGTTATTTTTTGTTATTTTCTTTGAACCCAAGAATTTGTAGTTGGATAAGTCGAGCCAGACTTGTGCCCATGTAACTTTAACGCGATCTTGAGAGCAAGGATGAAGAAATATCTCATCCGCAGTTCAGTGTTATATGCAGCGCTGTACATTTAGGCTGCAGTATGGTGATCATACAAAGTGACCTTATTTAACACAGTAGCTTATTCTCTTGTTGTATAGCTATTCAGTGCTAATGTAGGTGTCTGGTCCATCCAGGACCTATTGTTCAGATTCATGTTATCTAAGACAATGTGATGATGCTGCAGTGTTCATTCATTGTATTGATATTGCAAGTACAGGGTGTTTTAAATAGATGGACCAAATTTCAAAGCAGTATATTTCATGATGGCAACATGTTACAATTACACAAAAAGTTACAAACGGTTTAATGAGTTATCAAATTTTACTAATCATTTTATAAATGCTCTATGTGCCCTCCACCTGCTGTACAGACAACATCGAGACTATAGTGGAATTCGTCCAAATCGCCTCTCTTCTCACGTTTTCCTTTGAGGTGCGTGGTCGCCCTGTGCTCTTCCCCTTACATCAACAGCCTGTTTCCTCAAATTGTCGGTACCAACGACGAATGCTCTTTGACATTGGCGGATCAATGCCAAAACGCCCTTGAAACGCACGCTACACCGCAATTACGGATTCAGTCTTGCTGAACTACAGAATGCAAAACGCCTGGTGTTGCGGAGTCACCATCTTGCGAATGACTGAGGCGAGGGGCTGTTTGTGCGCTGGGAGAGGCATCTAGCGGTAATCATTTGAAACTCTGTGCCACGTCCTTTCAAGTGGTAAGAGTTTCATTCATGGGTGGTTCGTGGTTGCAGAGATATAGCGATTTCAAATCGGGTCTATCTTTTTACAACACCCTGTACAGTATTAAGAGATGCTGTATTTTGTGCTTTTTTTTCCACCAGTTTTACTTCGTTCTATTAATTAAATACGTTGGAGTCGGATGTTCACCCTGGCTCTGAAAGTTTATTGAATGCGAGGTTAACTACTTGGATAGTGGTGAAATGCAGCGCACAGCAAGGCCGAGACAATAAACTTCTTCCCATGCTGATGTGATTGAGAGACCACTTTGACTAACTCTTTAATTCATATCATATGTTGTAAAGTCTGGTGTCATTAGGCAACACCGTATGTTGTTGTGTCTATGCACTTTTATGTTAGATCTATGGTAGATTATGTTATAATCAGTGGAGTGAATTGTTATCGTAATGAATGTATTTACTTATTTTGATTTTACTGAGTTATCACACATTTGGGAAGTTGTCATGCAGTGGCTAGCACATTGCACTATGAACGTGGATAGATTTAGAAATAAACTGAAAACCTATTTATTTCCTAGGATATGTTAGATAAACTAGAGATGTTTTCTTTCTTCTGTACGGCAATGTGAGGCTCTTTGTTGGGTCTGCTGCGCCTTATAAAAAGTAAATATGAATTATGTAATAATATCAACTTATTTCCTGCCAAGGCTAAGATCTGAATTGCTCCCCCTCTCAACCCGCACTGAGCAGCATGGTGAAGTATGGGTAAACAACCCCTATGGCAGAGACGACATAAGAGGAATGCATCCATCCAACAGGGCATTGACAAAGAGCTGTAAATTAAACACATTTAACACACGCGGATGAATGAAAACTTTTTTCTTTAGATTGGTGGACAGGCTGAGAGCCGGCTCCTAGCAGTCTGGTGAAACACACTAATCTTGGGGGGATGTCGAGGCAGACGAGGGCCTGTCTTAGCCGACTGGTAAACAGGAAATACCAACACAGGAGGCAACAGTCAAATTAATTGGATTAAACATATGACTGAAAGGTTGATTAAATTAGGAATAAGAGGTGAATGAGGAAAGTATGAATGGGATATGGGGGAAGAGCATGTGTATGGATAAAATGAATACAGCTTAGTGTTGGGGAAATCATGGAGGGGGAGTCCTGGAAATGCCTCATATGCTCCGTGTGAGGACACAGAAGTGAGAAGTTGTGGAGCGGTGGCAGTTTTAAAGACGGGTACTATAGGGTAGTGCGAGAACACTGGGGGAGATCATGTTGTATGCCCTAGGATGGAGGCTGCGATGGGAGTTGAGACCATATTGTATTATTAATTAAATATGGCTTACCTGAATAAGATACTTTTGGTCTTGTTAGGCACACTCTTGGTTATAAAGGTCATCTACCTAAATAATGTATATTCCATTACCTGTGGCTTTTCATATAATGTACTCTGTTGTGCGCAAAAGCACCCGGGAACAAAAACGTGACTCGATGTCCGATTGTTCACAAAATACCCGATTGAGCTGCTGGATTTGAATCCAATCTGGAAAAATGATTAAAACAGGGTTCCCAAGTTTCCTGAGATGATGGTAACAACCCCATCGCAGGTGACTGCACAAACACATAATATGAAACTTGGAAGTAAGCTTATCAGCTTATTCCAGCTCTGAGGACAAAATTTGTTTTGCATTTATTTCAATTTGCCGAACACTGTTTGCAGGACATGTAAAAGGGAGTGGCATATGCTGTGGATCAGTGGCGGAAAGTGACTTCAGAAGTAGTAATGTGACACGGTCTTTTAAGAGGCGGTTTCTGGCCACAATTCAATGTCACAATGCCCCAAATAGAAATGTATTTGTCTCATGACTTGGTGCAATTAGCATAGAGGACAAGAATGTTTAATGAACCAAAATAAAGTGGTGTTATTCGTGATGCTGTCGTATGTATTTTGAACTTATTTCGTACCATACGTACCCAACCGTGCTAATTGGAGGTTTCATGGTTAGCACACTGAGACGAGAAATCAAAATATCACTGGTTTGATCTCCCAGCCCAGCAGTTGAAATGGGCAAGTTACTTAAATCCTCCCCCCGCCTCTGTACAAAGACGTATACATGGATCCACCAGTTAGTCGATCGGTAGGTTGCATGTGGTGAGGTAAAGATGTCTGATCAGCGTGGAAAAGTCGGCATAGTGGCTCTGTAGAACCCCCTCTAGTGGAGACCCTTGCACGAGCAGTGGCGTGAGCAAGTATTTGCAGGGCTGCACCTTTATCGTCAATTAGTGACGATTATACAGAAAATGATGGTATTGGTAATGATGGTTATGATGTGTAATGTGGACAACGATGTTGGGGAGGGGGCGGCGGGTGGGGGGTACATTTGTGCAGGCCCAGGACTCATCATCACCACCGATCACCTCCAACTCTCACCACCTCCCCCTCCCCCCCCATTAAATTTGACCACCAGTAGCCTCCACAATGAAGATGAAACCCAAGCTGCACGGCACTTTTTTTTTGCGGCAACAAAGACGGGGACCCGGATAACGTTTCGAGCGAGCCATCAAATTTTCATGTCCGCTCGGCCCCATGATCAATCATGACGTCAGTCCATGGGAATGCGAGGGACGCGTCGAGGATGGGGAAGATGGGGAAGGAATCTCCGTTGTGCGCGAGACGCCCCGAGAGACGGCGGGGAAGAGAGGCAAGAAAAAATAATAATAGTATTACAAATATTACATAGAAAACATAGGGGGAACATAGACATGGAGTAGGGAGAGGGGGGTAGAGAGAGAGGGGGGTCGAGAGAGGGAAGGGGTGAAAAAAATGTTTGTCAATGGTGCGTTTCTTTATTTGGCTACAGATTACGACAAATAAAGGATGAAAAAAAGAGGGAAGGGGTAAGGAGGAGAGCAGAGCTTGAAATTTTTGTGAAATCTTTCATTTAAAAAGGAGGGGGGGGGAGTTTAACATAAAGCAAAGCATTAACAAAAAAAACTAAATGATGAACGAAGCAAAGTGCCGACTACACCGAGCATCTTCTTGTTCCCACTGATCGTAAAAAAAAGAGAGAGGCTGGGAGAGAGAGAGAGGTAGGGAGGGAGGGGAGGCGAGAGGGGTTGTGAAGGAAGTGAGTCAGGGAGGGAGAGGAGAAGCAAGGAGGGGCAGAGAGAGAGAGCGGCAGGGAGGGAGAGGGGTAGAGGGGAGAGAGGCTGGAGGGCGGGCGAGAGAGAGAGCACACAGCCATCCTCAGCCCCGACGGCAGACACACACAGCAGACGTGCAGCATTGCAGCACCGCGACTCATCACAGCCACAGGACGCTCCCCGCTCAGCAGCAGCAGCAGCACAAATCACATCCTCGGTTCCGGCAGCAACAGCAGCAGTAGCCAGTACCCGTAACGTTTGTGTGGTTTTTTTTGGTAGGATAATATTTATTTCACCCCGTAACAATATATTTCCTTTTGCTTCCTCTTCGTTCGGTGAATTATTCGCGGACGGTGACAACGCATAGAAACTGCTTACCCCTATTTCGAGAGGCAAGAGATTTACCGTACATCGTGCAGAGAGAGAGAGAGATGGCAATGAAGAGTCTACCACTACTGCGGTCGCTGCTGCTGGCCGGACTGTTGGCTTGTCTACTGGAGGGAGCCCTGTGCGAGACGGTAAGTCACAATAGCATCGGAACGCAGCCTTGTATAGTCACGAAACCACGCGGCAGCCAACAGCAAACATCCTGACATCGTTGCGCAGACACGGGCAGCACGCACACTCGACGGCGCATCCAAAACATGATGCGCAAGAACAACGCGCACGAATCCGGTGGAATACGATGCGACCCCCCCCCCTACCCAGGATGATGCGCGTACATCAACGCACGCGCATGCAGAGTTGAAGCCGGCATCGAATTGCGCTCCGGATTGTGCGGCGACTCTTGACCAAGTCTGTTGTGTCGTGTGGTTTGGGAATGTTGGAGCGAGCGCTCGGAGCAATGTCAGATGAATAACATATGCAACTCGAAAGGCGGCATCTGCAATAAGTTACCGTTGTTGAAACGGCTTGGGGGGATAGAGAGAGGGGGAGAACAGGCACACACACACACACAAGTTTGCCGTCGGCTTGTACACTCACCCGTGGTGTAGGCAGCCCTCACCAGCTTGTGTTTGAGAGGCAGCAACTGCGTTAAGAACCGCAAATTGCGCGAATAAGGCACTCGTGTAATTACCAGAGGTGGGACAAAGTCATTGTTATGCAAGTCCAAGTCGAGTCTGAAGTCATCAAATTCATGACTCGAGTCTGACTCGAGTCCAAGTCACATGACTCGAGTCCACATCTCAGAGGTGGGACAAAGTCATTGTTATGCAAGTCCAAGTCGAGTCTGAAGTCATCAAATTCATGACTCGAGTCTGACTCGAGTCCAAGTCACATGACTCGAGTCCACACCTCTGGTAATTACTACCCGTGCATTGATAGACAGGGAAGCACGTGGTTGAGAGAAACGAACGCGCGTAAAATTCATCGTCTTTACTGTTAATAAAAGTAAAGGCGCGTTTAAAAAAATATATAAATTATGATGATGGTGGCCGATGGTCCAGCATAATAACGCAGTGGCAGCCAATGGATGGAATGCACACCGAGAGAGAGGAGGGGGGGAGTACAACCTAGGAGATGGAGCGATGGAACCATCATCTCGTGGTATCAGGTGCCCGCGAGGCAGGGTGTGGAGGAGGATGATGAAGAGCGAATAATTACCACCCCCCCACACACACACACCCCGCCCGGTTTTCGTTGGAGTGACGTTCAATTAGCGTGCGCGGCAGTTTTCACGAGTTCACGTTGTTTCTTGCCGTGGCGAATGCGCGTCCCACCCACCCACCCCTCCCCGCCTCTCTTTCTTCCTTCCTCGTGTTCATGACAAGGAGGCAATGACGCCTTCGCGCTCCGTCGCTAGCGCCACTCCGCTGCGCGCGCGCTGTGAGCGCAGGGCTCGGGATGAGTGGCGGTGCCCGCGGGGGGTCGAGGGGCCGCAGCGGAGGCAGCGGCGCGCATCATCCTCGGCGCGGTTCGCGTCCGTTCGAGAACGCAGGCAGCGCTTTCGATTGAAAGCTTTCGTGACTGCAGGGATTCATCTTCTTGGTTCTTTCGGTAAAGTCACGTAGAATGGAAATAATAAAATAATAAAAATATATAATCTAATAAAATAATATAATAAAATAATATAGTAAAATAATATAATATTATTTTATTATGTTTTATTTTTTTATTATTTCCATTCTACGTGACTTTACCGAAAGAACCAAGAAGAAAAAAAACGCAGAGCGCGTTCAGTGGCGCCGCGCATTCATCTATTAGCCTAGCCAAAACAAGCAGCGACTTCTTCCTTTCATTTCACGACAGGAGGAGGAGGGCCGGGGGGTGTTGTTCTTCCGATCGCTTCACGTTTATCCGTCTCTTTTGTAAATCCCGTGAGCTTTTGAAGGCTTCAGAGTGAGAGAATTCATGTTGTAAACCCCTCTCCGCTGCTGCTGCTGTGGAGCGGTATGGGAAAACGCAAATGTTCAGCGGAACTTTTGTTCTTTCCCTCCACACGTAGATATATACATTGAGCGTATGTTTTACCCAGCTCGAAACCCGTACACAATTTTGTTTGCTTGCTTATACAATGCTTCTTGCTTATATTACCTTAACACATTCGTCAATAACGCTGCTTTATAGGCACCGTGTTTGACAATGGCCCTGTAGAGCACATTTACAAAGCCGTATTGACAATATTCATCTGAGTAACATTGGTCTTGGAAAGCCAATATGTTGATGGGCTAAAACGCATGTTTAATGTATGTGTGGAGACGGAACGGAGTTCTGCTTGTGTGTGCTTTTAAGATTGAGAGATCTGGGTGTGTGGTGTGGGGGGGGGGGTGTTATTGCATGGGGTCGATTGTGAAAGTGGTGTCACATCCCTATCACAGCTGATGGCGTTAGCGAGGCGTTAAGTGACGCCCTAATTCACCAATATGCTCTCTAACACACTCTCCCCCTTTCCATACAATCGAGCTCATTATAAACAACTGCAAGAGTCATTTATCACCTCCACTGCTCGATGGCGTCCTGCCCCCGCGCTGTGGCCGACATGTAATTAAAATACATTTGATGTTTTATGGACATTCATTTCTATATTTGTCATAACATGAATACGTGGTCACCATAACGTTTTTTTTGGGGGGGTGAGCTCGCGTAAATATGGATGGAAGTTGGCTGCGAGCCTGCGGCTGCTGCTGTTCTGGGTCTCGGTGACATGTCACGGAGCGCCCGCTGGGTCGATTGCATTTTACGCCGGCTGATTAGAGCCGAAATCCCAATACCATAAGGGAGAGCGCGCTAATGGATCTTGCAAAAGCGGATGTTGAAGATGATGGTTCCCAATAAGTATTGTCCTAGCACTCCACTTAGCGCACGCATAACGCACCAATGAAAGCCACAGTTGCCACTGCTGGATGAAAACCTCCCCAAGCCGTTGCTATCTCTCACTAGCGTGCGATGTACGAATTCACCTAGCACCTGCACACGAGCTGAATTCATTGCTCCATCTCTTCAGTGGACGACCTTCTCGGACGTTGTTTCCCTTCCCTAGCTGCCACTCGTAATCATTCTTGACCATCGGACATCATCCCATCCCAGCGGCGTGCCCTGTCAAAGCCCAGTGGCTTTCTTAACGGTTTGAGCGAAGTAATTTACCTGCGTGTGTTCTCTCATCCATGTGTTCCTCTTTTTTTGTCTCTTAAAGTCGTTCCAAGCATGCATCTCCCCATGATTATGTTATCACTATTCATTTGCAGGCTAGAGAAACCCCACGATGCAGTCCCGTACAGTTTCAGCAGTTACTTTGCCGCTCATGTATTAACGTTATTCACAACGCGCGATTGATAGATTCCATGGGCAACAAAAGTGTTGCGCAATATTTTTGGTTCAAAATAGTTTTAAACACGCGCCCATGTGTATCTTGTATTGTCTTGTAAATATGAGCTTGAGGAAGATAAATTATTTTAATATTCTTTATGCTTAAGAGTTTCGTAATGTTTTTTTAAAAATATAATATCATTATATAAAAAAACAGAGATTTAAAAATGATCATGGGATTTCTAGAATCACCGAAAACAAACTTCCTTTGAATCATCCAGGACAAAACTGCTGTGTTCTCGCTGTAAATGAGATATTCTTTATATGCCTAGGCACTGCATGGCCGTGGGAAAAATAACAATTGGACAGACTTGTGCAATTATTACCCAGAGCCAAATTGCCTTTCTGACACACAAAATAAATATCGAGTTTTCCTTTCCCGGGAAAAAAAAACAACCCATCGAGTGTCGAATTCCCCCCCCCCCCCCGCCTTCTTAGTAACCATATAAAATACTGACGCAGCAAATCTGATGCCTCCCCTCCCATTGGCTGCTATTCCCCAGTACGTGGCGTTGGAGTTGCACCGCCGACTTGTGTGTTTGTTTCCATGTGCGGCACACTGCCACCTATAGCTTGCCACGTGTCACGCGCGCTTCCTGGAAAGCGTACAAGTGCAGCCACGCACAGGATAAATAAATGAATCAGTCACAACACATAGAGAGACTCATTGCTTAAAATATGAACGGGCCGGATTTGGTTTTGTGCGGAGGTTCCAATAGACGTGTTTCATTTCGTAATAACGGAATGTAACCAACACACACATTTGTGCCGTCATTCGAGATGTGACTTGCTCTCTCCTTGGTTAGTAAATCATATTTCGGACTTTAGGAATTACCTGCCAACTTTTCCTGCTGAAGAAGGTCAGTTAAAGAAATGTTAAGGTTTTTTTGTTCCACTCGGTTATAGAAACACATTAAACAAACAAAAAATACTTATTTTTTAAAATTAGAATAACGGTTTTAGTCGCAACCAAAAGTTAATGATATGTTGTAGTTGTCTGGCCAATTTTCACTCAATCAAGAGCTTCAGACGGCCACTTGGAATTTCTACAAACAACCAAAGTATGCAATGTTAAATGGAACTTTAAGACCCTTGAGGCATCGTGTAAGAAGGGACCAATTGTGTTTTTGTTGTCGTAACTAAATTTAAAGTTGTCAAATTACCTTCCACATTGGAAGGAAAAAACCTGCCCCCTACCTCATGCCCATCTGAAAAGGGGATTAATTAACCTCTTCTGAGCTCTCACAGCACGATTGTTATTTACACACAACACAGCGTGCATATGTAGAGGGATCTATGTATCTCACAAAAACACGTGCTTTTGTGTGAGTGTGCGCCTGTGACCGTATGCGCGTAGTACGCAAACGCAAAACTGTGGCACCTGGGATGGGCTTGGGGGAGAATGGCAGCAATTACTGCCACGCGCATGGGATGAAACATGTAACATGGGTGGCGGCAGATAAGTAGGGCCTTTATCCAGATTTTTTCCACACTCATTTTTTTTGTTTGTCGCCCGCTTTCCCCATACGCGGGGGGCTTGCGTGACCCGACTGAGAAACGTCCTTGCATGTTAATGAGGAATGCTGCAGGCGGTCAGACTGCATTACAGTGCACTCCTGGGTGCTACCGCCCAGCCCTGTGACAAGACTGAGGAGGTGGGGAGGCGGAGGGGGGCTCTACCTTTTTAATGTCAATGTCAGAGGAAAGGGCT